CTCTAGAGAAGAATGTTTTTGGTTTAATGTTAAAGATACTCAATAAGATAAATTGTTACTTGTCATAATCCTATTCTGTTTGTTTTCGAGACTGTTTAGTCTCGAAGGGGGGAAATGTCGTGTATTGGGATTATGCCTTTGTTAAATGTTTTTAAGTGGAACTGAAAGAATGTTGATTTTAGTATCAAGAGGGAATGTTTTAGTGTAACGCCACATACAACAGACAGGAAGTGTGTTGTAGACAGGGGATTGGACAGTAGAGGGAGCCACCCACATCTTGGGGAGATTATATATACTGGGGGAAAAACGAAGGAGAGGGCAGAGCGGCCATTCTGAGGCGTCGCTCTCCGGGTGGGCATGTCACCTGTCACTTATGCTGAAGCTTGTGATATGAATAAACCTTATGATCTAAGTTCAGTATGAGCGGACTCCTTTGTTCATCAGCAATAATTGCCACAATTCACCCGATACGACAGTAGCTCAGTTGGTAGAGCATGGTGCTTGCAATGCCGGGGTTGTGGGTTCGTTTCCCACGGGGGGGCAGTATGAAAATGTATGCACTCACTAACTGTAAGTTGCTCTGGATAAGAGCGTCTGCTAAATGACTAAAATGTAAATGTAATTGTGATGAGATGATGAGGTGATTAGGGTGCGTTGGGTTTCCATTCCGGTGTTGCCGAGGTGGTGCGCTCAGACCGGTGGCTCAGTAGACTCAGTAAACCTGTTTGCCTGCCGGGGCGTTCCGAGGTGTCTTCGTTTGGGCACATACGGAACAGGAGTTGACGTAGCGGGAGACATCAGAAGCCAAGGTGGGACACCAGTATTTTTGGGCTAGAGAATGCAGGGTGCGCGTAATACCAGAGTGCCCTGCCGTAAGGGTGGTGTGCGCCCAGATCAGCAGGCGGTCACAGACACAGGTGGGTACATACACGCGCCCCGGAGGGGCGTTGGCAGGCACTGGGTCCTCCTGAGCTGCCAGGCGGATGTCTTCGTCCACATCCCAAACGACAGGTGCAACGATGAGAGACGAGGGCAGGATCGGACCCCCCAGATCCTTCCTTTCTCCGGTATGGTGCATCCTGGAGAGTGCGTCGGCTTTCACATTCTGGGATCCTGGGCGATAGGACAGAATGAATTGAAATCAAGTAAGAAATTGGGCCCACCTGGCTTGACGAGAGTTCATCCGTTTCGCTGTCCATATGTGCTCCAAATTCCGGTGGTCAGTGAGAATCCGGAATGGATGGACTACGCCAATTTGATTTGAAAACTTCACCCACAACAGAAGCAACATGCCTCAATGCTCGCTCTGTCTTTCATTAGCGACTGTTGGAACTCTTTACAGTTATTTTGTTTGTTTGTTCTCATTTCCTGTATCCACTAATTTAGTACTCTCAGTTCAATTCCATGCATGACATATTCCCCATTAGAACCCAAGTAGTACATTCAGTTCCTCCCCCTCCTAAATGTTAATAAATCCTGATGCTTCTCAATACCTCCGCTTCTCTGTCTTTCAACCCCAGTTCCCATAGTAATAAGGGGGATAAATGTTGCCAATTACTGGCACTCTTGAATGGGGGCAAAACAACTGGTCAAGTTTAAGTCTCCGTTGTGTTCAGGAAAGCAATTTGTGTGTTGGGTTGATTGCTTGGTGATAAAACTGTTGCGGAGACACAATGTGTGGCTGTTGTTGGTTATGGCGGGCCGGGGTCACGATCTCTATTCAGATGGCTGTAGAACTGACAGGACACCATACAACAGGATGATGATTTTCATTACAACTGTCTTATACAACCCCCCCTCTTATCTTTGTTTGACTTTGTGTTGATTCGCCTATCTCCCTCCCCCCCAGGTGCAACAGCTACTGAAGGAGAGTCGACTTGAGTTCATCATCGGGGGACAGGTGATGCATGATGAAGCTGTGACCGATCTAGATGATGAGGTACTGCAGCTGACGGGTAAAAGTGGTTTCATACTTGATGTAGAACATTTGTTTTGTTGGTTACTTTAAACACTCATGGACTCTCTCTCTCTCTCTTTCTCTCTCTCTCTCTCACTCACACACACACACACACACACACACACACACACACACACTCACACACACACTGTCATTACAGAGGGCCATGGGTTCCTGTACGAGACGTTTGGGGTGCGTCCCCGGTTCTCGTGGCACGTGGACCCGTTTGGAGCCTCCGCCACCACCCCTGTCCTCTTTGCCCTGGCTGGGTTCCATGCCCACCTCATCTCGCATATCGACTATGACCTCAAAGATGACATACAGAAGAGCAAGGTATGGTAGTCACCATAGTTTCAGCTACAGCCTGGTCCCGGGAATCGAACTCACTATCCTGGTGTTGCAAGCACCATGCTCTACCAACTGTGCTTCAGTAATGTTTACACTATATTTACAATAACTTATTGTCATGGTCTTTATGTCTGGAGCAGAAACTCCAGTTTGTTTGGAGAGGCTCCCCCTCCTTGAAAGAGCAGCAAGAGATCTTCACTCACACCATGGACCAGTTCAGCTACTGTACTCCATCTTACCTGCCTTTCTCTAACAGGTCTCCTACATATATATCCTTTCCCCTCTCACCATTTTCCATGTCATAACTCTCCTAGCATATCCTACTCTCTTACAATTACCCCTACAGGCTGATATTGAATTAAGACTCCAAATTGGTTTGTAGAGTACAGTCGTGGTCAAACGTTTTGAGAATGACACAAATATAAATTTTCACAAAGTCTGCTGCCTCAGTTTTTATGATGGCAATTTGCATATACTCCAGAATGTTATGAAGTGATCAGATGAATTGCAATTAATTGCAAAGTCCCTCTGCCATGAAAATGAACTTAATCCCCAAAAAACATTTCCACTGCATTTCAGCCCTGCCACAAAAGGACCAGCTGACATCATGTCAGTGATTCTCTCGTTAACACAGGTGAGAGTGTTGACGAGGACAAGCTGGAGTCACTCTGTCGGATTTGGGTTT